GAGAGAGAGAGAGAGAGAGAGAGAGAGAGAGAGAGAGAACAGCCATGGAAATCCTAGGGCAGTTCTCCTTTGTTCTAGCTGGTTGCTATGAGTATGAATCACCTTGACGACTACCGGTCTCATTGATCTCTGAGTTTTCTGAAGGTAGAGATCATTGAGCATGGACTGTCTGCCAGCCACTTACAGGGCTTGTTTAGTGGTAAGCAAGGAGTTAACTTTGATTTCCCTTTTCTCAGTGCATCTTGAGTGTGTATACCAACAAGATCATAAGCAGCGATCGGGATCTCTTGTCAGTGGTGTTTTTCGGTACTGAGAAAGAAAAAAATTCAGTAAATTTCAAAAATATTTACGTCTTACAGGAGTTGGATAATCCAGGTAAGTACTATTTGAAGGTCACATTTTCCTTTACCAGAACCAAGGAGGGATGTGGAGAAAGAAGTGATTACATCTTGGCTGGGATTATGCATTCTTGCAGAAGGCGGTTCCTATTGGGATGTGGGCTTTCGCTATATGGATTAAAGAGCCCCAGGGTGAGATGGAGGCCCGAGACGCTTCTGTTAGTCTTGTGGTGGAGGTGGCACTGACCTCATTCTGATTTTTCTGTCCGTCTGACCCCTTGTCTCTGATTAGGAGCCAAACGAGTGCTAGAGCTGGAGCAGTTTAAAGGGCAGAACGGAAAGCAACATTTCCAGGACCTAATTGGCCATGGATCTGACTGTTCGCTAAGCGAAGCATTGTGGGTGTGTGCGAACCTCTTTAGTGATGTCCAGTTCAAGATGAGTCATAAGAGGATCATGCTTTTCACCAACGAGGATGACCCGCATGGCAATGACAGCGCCAAAGCCAGCCGGGCCAGGACCAAAGCCGGGGATCTCCGTGACACAGGTGGGCACCCTTCCTGTTCTTTTGAACCGGCACTCAATTTCACGACTGCTTTAGAGCTGCTAACTGCAAGGTCAGCAGTTTTGAACCCGCCAGCTGCTCAGAGAGAGAAAGATGGGTCCTCTGCTCCCATAAACAGTTAGTCCCAGAAACTCAGAGACAATTCGATCCTGTTCTGTAGGGTCGCTTTGAGTCGGCATCGACTCAAATGGCAGTAAGTTTGATTTGGGTTTTTAGAGCTGACGCCAAGCACTTGCATTTCTTTCTTTTTTTTTTTTGCACGTGCGTTTCAACAATAGAGTAAAATGAAAGAATAGAGTGAGGCCGAGGGAGACATCCAGGCAGCATTGTCACTGAAAATGGCCATGCCTTTGTCAGCTGTCAAGGGCTCCACCAGAGGGAGCTTGTCTGACCGTGACTCCTACCTTGAGCATAGGTTATTTGAATACATCTCTGTTAGCATTTGATTTTCCTTAAATTGTCTTGAAATTGTTCAGAATCAATCTTGTTCGTTGGGAGTTTTTCAAAGGTATATTTGAGCTTACCTGAAAAACAAATCTTACCTGCTGACTCTTTTTGTTAGACAGTTTTATTCAGATGTTTCACATCTGAGAAAATGCACACAGCCAAAGGTAGACCCTTAGACCAATTGCTACCTCTGCAAAGGGGCTTACAAAGTTTGTGGAAAAGTGGAATTGTTCCCTTGTACAATTCAGTGATCCTGGTATACTCTTCAAGCTGTGCCACCCTTACTGACCTTTTCCAAGTTATTCCACCACTGTAGCCTTAAGCTCACTGTCCCCTGAGCTTCCCAGCCCACCTTTGAGTTGCTACTGCCCATTTGATCTCACATAGATAATTCTTCAAAAGAGCACATGCTCAAGCAGATGCACTTGACTAAGATAGGAAAATTGATTTTCCTCTGTCCTTCTGTCTGCCTTTGCACCAGGTATCTTCCTGGACCTGATGCACCTGAAGAAAGCTGGGGGCTTCGACATATCCTTGTTCTACAGAGACATCATCAGCCTCGCAGAGGACGAGGACATAGGCGTTCACTTTGAGGAGTCCAGCAAGCTGGAAGATCTGATGAGGAAGGTTCGGGCCAAGGAGACCAGGAAGCGAACACTCAGCAGGTTTGCTCCACGCCCGGGTTAACCACCCTCAAGTCCCCTAGCCTGAAAGGAGCAGGGTATTGCTTGACCTCCCTGGCTACTTAGCCCTAGGCTGGGTTCCTGCCTCGCCATGCTCTTTAAGAAAACGTGCTTGATTTCAGGATGGGCCATGCTATTTGCTTTTCTCTTCGTGGAAAGAGTTAGTACGGTGCACGGCTGCTGGTGGTTAGCAGCCTGACCCCTGTGCCACTCCACTAGGTTATCATGAAGTTTCAAGGAAAAGCACATACACACCGAGCTTGGAGTATAACACAAACTCCACGTGTGTGTTCATGATTGCTGCCCTTCAGTTATGTTATTGTGGTTTCTGATAAACTCGCCATGAACAGGAATTGCTTTGTTAGATGATGTTCTTTTAAAGGACCTGAGGCATTCTGGTAGTGCAGTGGGCTGAGTTGGGCTGCTAACCAGAAAGTGGGCAGAGCAGTCCCACCAGCCACTCAGGAGGAAAATGAGGCTGTCTGCCCCAGAAAAAGACCGACAGCCTTGACCCCAGGGGTTCTATAGGGTCACGCTGAGTCAGACTTGCTGTGGTGGCAGAGGGGGCCTGAGAGAGGCAGAGAGAGGAATGCTACTCAGTGTCTCTTCCTGCCGATTTTTCCCCTGGGTTCCTCGAGAGAGGGCTCAGAACCCTTGGCAGCTCTTGTGTTGCTTTTAAGAGTTCACTGGCAGTTCTAGAAAATGTATAAAATGATCTTAAGGAAACCATGACCCCACTTTTCTCCAATTGTAGTTTTGTCACTGTATTTACCGCTCACTCCCCCCGCCCCCCAACAATTTCTCTTTGCTCAACTAGCTTTCTGTGCCCGCTTCATCCTTCCTGGAACGATGGGCTGCTGTTCTTGGTACATCTGGGAAATAGATTACCCACTTGGGTGGGGTTGGTGGGAAGGCTAAAGAATTGGTTCATTATGGGTGCTGGAATCAGATTGCTAGGATTCTAACTCTGGTAACTCTCCTCTTGAGACCTGAGAGGAAGGTCCTGAATTTCTCTGAGCCTCTAAAATGGGAACAAACAAAGTTCTTGCCCACAGGATCAAAGTGATGATCTAACAGGACCCATCAAGGCCCATCCTAATTTCTTATAAATGTCACTGTATTTATTATTTGGTGAAAGAGTGATTGTAGGACATTTAATACTACTACTACTAAACGAGATGTTTGAGAAGTGATAGTGCCTCAGTCCTAAGGCTTAGGGAATTCTTTCTTTTTTTTATCATTTTATTAGGGGCTCATACAGCTCTTATCATAATCCATACATACATCAATTGTGTAAAGCACATCTGTACATTCATTTCCCTCATCATTCTCAAAACATTTGCTCTCCACCCAAGCCCCTGGCATCAGCTCATTTTTTCCCCTTCCTCCCCAGTCACCCCTCCCTCATGAACCCTTGATCATTTATAAATTATTATTTTGTCATATATTGCACTGTCCGACGTCTCCCTTCACCCACTTTTCTATTGTCTGTCCCCCAG